CAAGTTTAATGTCATACTGTGGAACATTCAAGATTAAGCAACACCATCTCCATGGAGGCAAGCAGACGGGACACTCACCAGACAAATTACACAGCGCTCCTTTAAAGATACATTAAATTAACAATATAATATAAAGCCCAGTCCCGCTCAGCAATATTGTCTGGCTTGTTAACATTATATCGAATTGGACACTGAGCCTAAAATGCATCGTTCTGGTGCAGCGCCAAAACAGCAATGAACTATATTTTTTACATTCTAATTAATTTCTGGTAAGAAAATCCAACTCCAAGTAAAATATGAGTTTGGCAGTGGTGGAAGAGTAAAAGTAAAAAAATATCATGTGAAGAAATCTACTTAAGTGAAAGTATTAAAGTAACTGTTTAAAAATGTAATTAATGAGTAAAAAGTAGGAATGTAACAACAACTGAAACATCGTGATATCGTATCGTATAATAATGTGGACCATCACAATATATCGAATTACATGTCTCTTTCTTAAATTAAGAGTTATGGTGCAGCAATACCTAAAAGAAGACAGAGGGAACTACATAGACCATGATCCTTTGCTCCATTTCTGTGTTGTCTACATAAGAAATAACAGTTCTAAGCACTTTTAAGTCTTAGTTCTTTGGATTAATTAATATGACAATGTGGCATATTAACAGTTTTATTTGCCTTCACAAAATATCGCAATAAATATCGTACCGTGAGATGTATATTGTGAAAATATTGTACAGAGAGATTTGGATATTGTTACATTCCTACTCATAAGCCTCTCCATCATATCGTGAGCTTTCCCACGATATCGTAATAAATATCGTACTGTGAGTATCATACTGTGAGAATATTGTATCGTGAGACTTGGATATCATTACACCTCTAATAAAAAGTAAAAGTATTCTGCGCAGAGTTTGAAATCTAACAAAGCTTTTTTTTTGTGTGTATTTTTGCTTGCTCAAACTATGATCTTGATAAAAACAAACCCTGCAAGGTTTTCAGCAGGTCTAACACAATAATGAAAGCACTTTTACTTTTCGACCTGTTCAAAGTATGGAAAGTACAGATAAATTCTCTGAAATGTAGTGAAGTAAAAGTAAAAATGTGCCACTTTAAAATTAACTTAAGTAAAGTACAGATACCTAAAATGTACAGAACTACTTTTACTTCATTACTTTCCACCACTGGAGTTCTGTGGGCCTACTTACTCAAACAGTTCTGGTCTGAGGAGGTTGATAATGCTGCAGATTTCAGTTCTTTCATCAATCACCGACCATGTACGTCCTTGAATGGCGCACAGAAGTCAGCGTACAACCTAAAATACTAATAATTTCCTCAGAAAGTAGGATTTGTCTTTCAATGCGTAAATGACAATATAATGTATTACTCATAAATTCTCTTTTTGTCCAAGGTCAAGTACATATTCTGGTTCAGTCCGCTCCCATGTTGTCAGACCTGAAAGTTAAGCTCCGCATTTTGGGTCAGTTTATTAGAGGCTTATATTTTTAGCCTGGAACTTTTAGGGCAAATTGTATGAGGTAGTTCTGTTAAGATGTCCTTTGTATCAGAACTCTTTGTCAGAACTTTGTTTCAGATAGAAATAAAGCAATAACCTACTTGAGATAGCTGGAAATTGTGGTTGTTTCCTGAGGGACGCGCGACGCACAGTTGGCGCGCGTCTACGGGAGGTGTGTATTTACTCAAACTCTACCGGAGCATCCCTCTCACTTCTCCCAAACATGCCAGGAATATCTGCTCCAACTTGTGCAAAAAACGCTTCTACGCCACCCCCCCAAATCCCCCCCCATCCACCTTTTCCCCCGTCTATTGGCCCTGAGCTTCCGTGACGCGCCCCTCTCCTCTCCCGCGATTGGCTCCGCGCTGCGCCCTTCTGTTTGACTGACACGGGACTGCTGGAAGTGCCCTCCTCTGAGCTCAGTCTCTATTAGAGTGGAGCAGCGGAGTGTTGTACAGAAAAGCCGCTGTACAGTCGTCAATGGGAAGCACACGAGACGGTGGCAACGCGACGCACGTTCTACAGTAAAACACCTCGAACTCCACGATGCTGTCTGCGTCCGAGCCGTGTCTGTGGATTATTACAGTATGCCTTTACGCGTCTTGTCACGTCCAAAGTGGGGAAGCACAGAACCCGAAAGAAGGTAAGTTCCGAAAGTTTGAACGGCGAGGTGTCCGAGTCCAACGAGCTGTCACTGACCTGGATTATTGTCCCTCTGAAGCGCACTATGACCGAGGACTGTGTCTGTTTTACTACAAATTTAACTCGGGATTACGCCAATGGTTTCGCACGGATTACGCACAAGGTTCCTTTTTTTTTCCTCCACGTCTCTCCGCGTAACTAGCCTGCTTTTTGAATAGATTAACAATCCATCAGCGGATCGATAACGAGTCAGCATCGGCAGCGGCTCCTGGAGTTGACTGGAGCCCTGTGTGAGAGCGCACGGCCGGGTTCGCTGCCTTGGGGTGTCCCGGGATCGAACGCGCACGGCCCCTCGGTTTTACAGAAGCGAGGATACAAAGATTTACTCTGCTGTAGCTGACAATACCGTGGCACTATTCGTTTATTTGTTTAGAGCCAACAACCTTCTGTCCCTTTACCTGCCGTTATTCACCTCTCACGGTAAAGTCACGGGGTGCGCACTGGATTGATTTATTACAGTGTTAGGACAACGGGTTATTTGGAGATGTTTTGTGATTTGTTCCCAGTCTTAATCCCACGTATAATGTCTACATTGTATGGAGCATTATGTTATGATCCCGGCACCGCTAAGTCCTCGTCTCCCCGTGAGAAACCGGGCTGCTGACACGAAACAACTTCATTTCAGACGCTGTATTGCGCTTCTGTCTGCAACAACCTGCTACGCTGTCTCAACAATCCCCACATTCAAGACTCGTCGTTTTTATAGGCTCTGCTTTGGCTCATTTTTTAACCAAAATCCGCTTTGACCTTAACAGTGCCATGCGTCCTCTGCTACGAGTTGAATCCATGGCAAATAAAAGAGAGCGCGATGCGTAAACGTCAGTCAAAGTTGCCCCGTGCTGCAGTGCATTACTTATTACGTGTTTGCTGCCACTGAAACGAGGTCACGGGTATATATACTATACCCATGTGGCTACCACTTTACAACAAGGTTATAACGCCTTTAAAGCGATTATTCAGGCGTGCGTACATTTACGTTACGCAGCCTATAAATAAAGATGGCACCCTAAATTATGTGTTGGATGCATTTAAGTTAAACGCCTCTGTCTGCCGAGTGTGTAACTTTGGAACAGCCGCACGCAGCCGAGAAGGTCGTACAAATGAAGTCGTGTAAATGATGTTTTCAAATTGAACAAGCGCAAAACCTCCACAACCTTTGTCTTTCTTTACGTTTGTACGTCCTGCTCACAGATTTTGAGTAACTGTCTACAGAACATTAACAAAAAAGCTTGGTTTTAATGAAAATTATAAAATTCACACACGTTCCTGAAAGTTATGTGGCAATAAAAGTTGTAGTTGAAAGAAATTGTTCTGAATAATTATGATTTTTTTGGGGGGCAACAATTCTCCTTCTTTGCCATTTAGTTATTACTGTACTGTAAGTTATTACTGTGGAATAAAATCTAGGGGAGATTTAGAGAGGAGAATTGAAGAGGCCAATTTTTTCTCTAAAAATGTGCTAAGAATAAAGTAATAGAATCAACTCTTCCTAATTGATTTTAAGGCAAAGCTGATTAACTTCACGCTTTGGTTAGACGAGTACAATCTCTGATAACCTGATTACAGATTCTCCTCCTAAAACAGCCCAATTCTAAAACAGTACCTAAATGTGTCAGTGCCCCTGTGAGATTTAACCACCTGCCTCTCTCTGTTCCCCCTCGCTTTCCTGTCACCAGTGATTTTGTTGGACTCCAAGGCCCAGCAGACAGAACTAGAGTGGATCTCCTATCCTCCCAATGGGGTAAGTACTGTCCCAGCCGCCTCCTGCCTGGCCCACATCCCCAACCATCACCGGCGCATTCTTTAACTAGATGTATTCTGGAGTTTCTGCATTCAAAAGCAGGCCTGAAGCGAACCCCCAGCTCGGCTCTGATTAAAAGCAGTCCGAGTGAGGTTTTTTTAAATAAATAATGAGAGCGGGAGACGATAAAGGCACCACAATCATCCTTTAAGATGTTTGTGCGCGATAGTGGGGTCTAATCTCTCTCCATTCACCGCTGCTCAGTACTGTGTTATTACAGCCCTCTGTGTGCGATGGCTGCACTTCATATATTCATTAGCGCTCTCAGGCTCTCAGGCTGCTCCACTGCACTGATTGGGTGCCTTGTGTTGATCTAGTGTTCACTTAAGACTCAACAGTCTCACATTGAAGATAAAGAAATATAATCATGTCATATGTGAGAATTCTATCAGAAATGTACTCGTGTAAATCTCTTGGTTATTGAATAGACTTATTTAACACAAAAACGCTGAAATATCTTGTATCTTATTCACTTTGGAACATTACCCTGCACATTTCTTTCCTTTTGTCATTTTTGAAGCCTTTTACAATATTCTTATTACTCAAAGTATGTTAGCTATTTTTCCTTTTTCAAAATCTTGTAGATGATATAATGCTCACCTTACTTCCATCCAAACTTTTCCCAAGAGAGACAAATGCGACATATGAGTCAGCTATACGATATACTACCAATAAACACTCAAAACTGCGAAAGGAGTTACGGAAACTGTTGTTTAACTTTTGAAAGAAATGTCAAACTTTCTTATAAAGCTGTAACTTGCACAATATTTTATTTAGGCTGTTGCACAATCCACTTCTCTTATATTTGAAGACTTCAGTTAGGCCTTCGAACCGCATGATTGACAGCGTAGATACAGAACTTTCCCCCTTTTTTTTTGCCTGCTCACTTTTCCCAAAACTTACGCTTAAAGTTTTTTGTTTGTTTTTTCGCAGTGGGAAGAAATCAGCGGCCTGGACGAGAACTACACTCCCATCCGCACGTACCAAGTGTGCCAAGTCATGGAGCCCAATCAGAACAACTGGCTGCGGACTAACTGGATAGAGAAAGGCGATGCTCAGAGAATATTTGTGGAGTTGAAGTTTACCTTGAGGGATTGTAACAGCCTGCCCGGAGTGGTGGGTTCCTGCAAGGAGACTTTCAACTTGTATTACCAGGAAACCGATTCGGAAGTTGGACGTAGTTTACGGGAGACGCAGTATGTCAAAATAGACACCATCGCGGCTGACGAAAGCTTTACTCAGGGCGACTTGGGCGAGCGAAAGATGAAACTGAACACGGAGGTGCGAATCATCGGCCCCCTGTCCCGTCGCGGATTCTACTTGGCGTTCCAGGATGTTGGCGCTTGCATCGCTTTGGTTTCGGTCAAAGTCTACTACAAAAAGTGCTGGTCCATTATCGAGAACTTGGCGACGTTTCCGGACACGGTGACCGGGTCGGAGTTCAGTTCTCTGGTGGAGGTGGAGGGGGTGTGCGTGAACGATGCGGAAGAGGAGGCCGACAACTCTCCCAAGATGCACTGCAGCGCCGAGGGGGAGTGGCTGGTGCCGATTGGGAAATGTATTTGCAAAGCTGGATTTCATCAGAAGGGCGATGCGTGTGAACGTGAGTGTCTTCTTCTCCAGTTTCTCTATCTCTCTCTGTCACACTTGCCTTGCCTTTGAATGCACCTGCGGCAGATCACAATGGCAACCCCCCTTTGATCAGGCATTACAAAAGAGAGATGTGGTAAAAGGCCGTTTGACTGCTTCAAAAAGTACTCTGAAAGCAGTTTGATGAAGTAGTAGGGTTGTGTTAGAAGTAGCAGTATGTGTAATCTAAGTGTATTGGCTGTTTTAAGTTTGCTTTTGGGGTTGCCACTGTGTCATAGCTACAATTAGGGCTGGACAATATGACAAAAACTATATCATAGCTTTAGATAATCACAATATTAAATAAATAAAATGGCCCTCAGTCATTTTCTCATTCACATAAAGAAGACTGACTTTTAAGAATTTAATTGAACACCAAAAATTGTCACTTTTTTCTTCCAAAATCTGACAGGATTGGCTCCAAACTGATGCTTTGAAGCTACAAAATCTCAAATTGATTAAAGCAGAATTAATTGCACAGCCCTAGTTGCAAAGTTGCAGGTTTTACGTTGGATGCCATTCCTGTTAAAACACACACATACACACGACATGACGTAGCGCTCGCAAGTTTTGAACCACTGACCTTGTGGCTGGTGCGCAAACACTCAACCCAAACTTGCTTCGTTTGATTAATAAGGCACGCAAGAACATCTAAAACACCAGTTCAAAATCAGCCAATAGGAAACAAAACAAAAAAGCATTTATCAGCACACACATTATGTAAAAAAGAACGCTCAGGAACCCAAAGACGATTATAAGAATGAGACATATTGTTTATGTAGAAAGGTCCGTAAAGGATTTTGTTTGAATTTATGCAAAACCGCTCTGTGATGAGTCCTCACCGGTGTTGTTGGTATATAGGATTAAAGCTCCTGATCTGACAGCACAAGGATGTCTGAAGGACCGCATTGTGGCTTCTCCCGGCTCCGTAATTAAAATCCCTGTTAATTGATTGCTGGACTCTTCATTTCCAGCCCTGATCCTGTTGACACTGGGATTAAATAATAACTGGAGTTTAGCCTCTCATCGTGAGCTGGCTGCGCTCCAAGGGAATTAGCTGCAGAACACACCGGGTTTGTGGATCCTGGAAGTGGTCCGGCAAGAGACGCGTTCAGGGTCTGTGCGTTTAAAATACACTATTCTGGGCTGAGTCTGGTTCACTGTGCTGCCTTCAGTGTCTCTGACGGAGCAGGAAAAAGTAACAGCGTGGCATTTCGCCTCAGGAAATTCAAGCAGGAGACGAGAGGAAGGGCTTGACCGATGGAGCAGTGTTGGTTCATTGTTGTGATTTTTATGGTGGCTGCACTAAACAAAAGTAAGTTTAATATGGTGAAAGGCCAACTGCAGATAGACGTGTGGAGAAATGCTAATGTTGTTTTTTTGAATGTATTCAATTATTTACTTAAAAAAGCAAGAAGTAATATGAACGCATATTTCTGCGCTGAGAGAATTTGTACAGACCATTTATTTATTCACGCTACTAGCCGCTTTACTTCAATGTTTACACACACTTCAGCATTTCACTCACGGATTGTAAAAATATACAAATCTGATCATTTTTATGAAAGGAATCTGAAAAAAATATATTTGATAATATTATGTAACTTTCTTGGCTGGAAAGTCAGCTTCATTATTCCTTGGAAATAGATAGTGAAAGCCATAGTTTGGAACATTTTCCATGGAGATAGATGAGGATTATAACCAAAAAAACAAGATTTTAATGAAAACAAGCTGGAGGAAAAAAGAGTCGGGTTTGTGGAGATGCAAGTAAAGCCTGTCATGATGAAAAAAAATAAAATGCAAGTGCGATATTTTGCTGAAGTAAAATAAATGATATTAAGGCCAAACCATAAAGCAAAATTATCCACAAAAAGTATTCTAAATGTACAATATTATAAAAAAGTGCAATAAATAAATGCAGAATGCAACTTTTAAGTAGTTGTTTTGTTTCTATAATGAGTCTTAGAAGTTCATAATTCAACTCTATACAGCCAAATCACATTGTAGTACTGAAAAAATACACTTTTTTTTTTTTTGACTAGTGAAAGGAAAAGTACCCATGATAAAAACTGAGCTCCAGAAATTATTGTTCCTGTTACGTAAGTTGGTATTGTAATATTGTAACGGGCCTAGATGCAAGGCTGCTTAGAGTAAGGGAACATTTTCTTTCACTTTTTTATGTTTTTCAGTGCAATAAACACATCTATAATGAAAAAAAAAAGCAAAAAAGGTAAATACTGGGGCTTGAATATATTACCAAAACATGTAGGCTGTTCTTGAGTTTTTAAAGTGTGAAACATGCTTTCCGTGCTTGGTGTTTTGTTGCTGTGGCTCGCTCTTCACGCACGATAGTCACGTTGAGACCCTTTACTGATTCATTAGTGAAATGATACACTGTCTGTAAAACCAAATACACAAGAGTAGCTTTTATGTACCCGTACTTCTCTAAGGTTGAATGCGGTGCTCATTTTCAGCGCAAATGTTGCCTCACAGTTTAGAAAGTAGGTCAGACAAACGCAGCTCTCGAAATGAAAAGATTTAAACTGTATGAGGAAAATGTAAATGCTAGCAGAAATCTCCAGCCCACCTCCACCTCTACAGCAGCCTTGAAAGAATCCTCTGGTGGATTACTTCTTGTGCACGTGTAGATACAATATTCATGACCATCCCGCACGCTACGCCAATATTTTTAGCGTCTGTCACTCTTATTTACTGCTATGTCATCGCTCACAGTTAAACCTCGATCTAATGCTCGCCGGATTATTTTCGGTCGCCACCTGACTTAAAAGCTACTAGCCTCCGTGGATTAAAAAAACGGGGGTCAGGGGGGTCGTGGAACTTAAGTGGCCTCCCCTCCCCCTTCCTTATTGGCAAATTTGGCAATCTCAGTCGAAGAAGTTGATTATGGGGCCATGTCATTCTTCACTTAGAAGTAAAACAGCCTTGTTACTGGTAAAACAATTTGTACTTTACTGAAATATAAGAAGTATGTGTTTTGATTGCCAGTGTTGGGAAGTAACTGAATACATGTAATGAGAATAAGTACTCTGAATACTAAATATGAGTGCCTGTATTGGGTTACATTTACTTTTTAACTTGGTGGTATTATAAAATCACGCAATTTAAGAATTAGTGAACAAAATACAACACTATAGCTCTTATACCGTGTGCATGTGTAGTTTTTTCTTCAATTAGTGATAGAAAACGCAGATCAAAACGGGCAACAATTTAAAAAGAAATATATAGCGATGTGAAAGTATTCAGGATGCAGTACTCTAACTGGCCCACATATCGGAATTAGGGATGTAAAAATAACCGAAATATTGTGATATCGTATCGTCAAAAGTCTCACAATAATATCTCTTTGCTTAAATTAATAGTTTTGGTGTGGCAATAGCTAAAAACAGAACAGAAACAGAAAGGAACTACATAGACCATGATCCTTTGCTCTGCTTCAGGGTAGACAACATGAAGAAATAACAGTTCTAAGCACTTTTAAGTCTTAGTTCTTTGGATTAAGTCTTGTCAAGGTATTTTAAGAGGGAAAAAGATGCATATTGAGTAGTAGTTTTGTTCACCTCCACAAAATATCGTAATAAATATCGGACCGTGAGATGTATATCGTGAAAATACATCCCTAATCAGAATATGTTACAAAATACGTTTTAATGCCGGTATTCAGTGACTAAATACATTTTCAAAGTATTCTTTCCATCACTGTTGACACCAAATGTTACGAATGTGTTTTTAATATTTTTTTCAAGGGGTTTTTGTTTGTGGTCGAATTACGGCAAAATGTTAAAGGTGCATTGTGTAACTTTTCTGGCCACCTGTATTTCTCCGTGTACATGTTATTGTTATTGCTTTGTCTGGAATGTTTCACAGTATGGCATTAAACCTTTCTATCTTCATGGAGACCAAACCAGACCAAGTTACAGGTCAGATCTGTGGAGTGGCGATCCCGCTCACAGCCAGAATACCTGTTTTGTATTTTTTGAGCTATAAAACCACCTGTAAATGAAGAAATGTAAAATCTTTAAAGTAAGATTTGTTTAAAGCCATACTGTGAAACATTCCAAACAGAGCAGTGACATTTCCATGGTAACAAGAACGCGACGGACCTTCAACCGAAAAGTCACATAAGTGCACCCAAACAAAACTAAAAATACAAACACATTTTATAAAAGTAATGGCAGTATTTCCAAATATTTAATCGAGTACTTTCACTGTCGTATCTCAGTCTTCGACCTGAAAGAATCCTAATTGGCAAAGTTGCCGATCTCAATCAAAGCAGCTTAACCACAGCAGTCCGTAATAATTGAGCATAAGAACACGCGTTGGTCTTTTATGGTTCCATGTCTTCCATCAGGGACAGTGCTGAGGGAGGTGAGCTAATGAAATAAATTAGGCCATGTAATTTACAGCAACGCCGGCCGCCCCGAGTCTGGCTAATGTTAGCAGCGATCACTCATTCAAACCCGGGGAGTTACTTTTATTGTTGTTTTAATATGCACACGAGCCCCGAGGTAGGAGGTAGAAAGCAGTGTTTATTTCCACAGGGAGGGCCGGGCGGGGGGAGAAAACAGCAGCCAGGTTTTCTTTGCAAACTAATGCCTCCATCCGTTTCTTATTGTCGGGAGCAAGCGCCGCACTTGAATTAATGAAGAGGTTGAGTTCACGAGACTTGATCTGAACGGGAGGGTTTGGTTGAAAATTGAGGTGGTGAGAAAGTTGGAATTCAGGGCTAGAATTTGTGTTTTGTCTGACCGTCTGAGCAGGTGTTTTTACAAGAGATACTCCGATACCTGACCGATATTTGCACATTTTAGCCCATCATCTGTCAGCGTTAAGTCACCAGCACATGCTTTTTTTGGACTTTTTAGCATGTCAGCCTTAAATCTCTAACACAGGCCAATATTTGAGTACGCACTAGTACACGCAAACATTTATTTGATCTGTTTAATGCACAAAAAG